AGGCCTCAATCAGTCAACCCTCTCTTCACAATCCCCAATTCTCCCTTTGAATTTTTCTTCTCTCATAGGGATGGACATGCCAACGGCCTTGGATTGATGGCCTTGGACCGGGACAAGAACCGACATTGTGCTGGCCTGGATCGGGACCGGAGAAGAGGTTCTGGTGCGGAATCGGGTACCCAAGTACCCAACCGGTTTCCGGTGAGCCCGGTCATAAATAATGGAGACCGGACCAGGCGATGCTGGTCCGGTTCTAGCTGGTTCCAAAGGTAACAATTTTAAATTTTCACATTCTCAAATGGTGGAAGAGCCACAAAGGGTTGTTCCCTATTTTATGAAAAATGGCCAAACAGGTGCTGTCAGTGCCGATTTCAAGAGTTGCCGTGGTATAAGAGTTTAGCGAAGTCGGCATCATTTTGACTGTTTATAGAGCGCAGTTGAGCGCTTCATCTCTTGAGACGCTCATTTTCTTCCATGATTGGTTGAAGGTCCGCCGTAGAACACAAGAAGTTAAATAGCACTGGACTGCCATTTCATGGAAACACAAAAAAATTGATCCCGGAAGCGGCTCCGAAGATTAGTTCATGTCTTAAAAGTTTAAACCATTCTCAATTGTAATTTATAAATGTGTAATACTCTAAAACAGTGCTTGTTGTTGCTTTAATAGTTTAAATAAGTGTTTCTAAGCTTTTAGATAAAAAAAGAGCTAAAAATGTGTTTGTAAATCCCAATCCCAACTTATAATTAAAAAAGTACTTTAAAGTTAAACATTAGAAGCTGGAATATATCAACTTCTAAGTGCTTCTAGGTATACTTGTAATTAACTCAAACTTTATGGATAATAATAATGGCAACAAAATCTCTAAACCCCCGAAATACCTCAAATAAACACCACCCATCTGCCCCATAGCCCTCACGCAAGTGACCAGCCTGGAGCTTTGTCGTCGAGTGATGGAGATTGCAGGCTAGGCGACCGACCTGTAGATGGGGTCAGTCAAATATGTTGACTGCGGCGTTGGGGTGATAACAGGGAGACACACGCCGACTCAAGGGATTCTATGCAATGGTGGAGTCTGATCTAGGGTTGTACAGAATCAAATAACCCTACTCTCTTTTTAAGTCACCCACGCAATCACTCATGCATATTTTAGTGTGTACACATTGTTTTTCTTCTTCTTCAAAGATTCACCACATTAACTTCAACAATAGTATAGCTCAAAGAATTGCACACAAGCACATTATTTAATCAAATCAAGAATAAACATAAAGTGGCTAATAAGTCTAACAACAAAAATTAACAACATAAAGATTGATGATCCAAGTCAAATTTTAGCAAGTACACATTTCAAATAATATAAGTTTCCCCTTCACAAAAGTATTTCTTGAGCACACTATAATTTGAAACGATAAATGTATATAATTCACAAATTTTCAACATATAAAAAGAAACAAAGAAATATCTTTGTTACATGCAATGGACTTTAGCTTGCACCCCCACAATTTTAAATATTTACAAACAAATGCATGGCCCTTAAAATTCATAGAGATAATTTCATTTTTATTTAAGATAAATCCATCACAACCTTTATTTGCATGTAATATACGCTTGGATTTTAAAGAACCACACCAAAGCACTACATGCAGCCTAATAGCAACAAAGTAAGCATAGAAAAAAATTGGTTCAACGGTTCTTCAACAACACAACAAAGTAATTAATACTTTGTATAATTTAATGACTATAGAGATGTTATGAAGAGGGTTATCAAAAGTTAAAACCGTTTTCAGCATTAGAAGGGAATTTAATAGTCATAATTTTAAAGCACACTAAAGTTAGAATTTCATTCCCTAAGTTGATCAAATAATTTTAAGAACAATTAAAGGAAAGGGTAGCCTTGTATTAACAAGTTAAAACTGAAATGAAATGGATGATCACGTCCAACGATATACATGTTTTTAACAACTAAAAATTCTCCGGATATTTCATTGACAGTGTCAGACCTTCTCATATGTCATACCGGTATGCAAAAGTAGAATGCAAATAAATAAATTTTTATTCAATTTAAGCAATTAAGCCAGTCAAAATCTCAATCAAGTGAAATCATCAATAAAATACAAAATCTTATATGATGTGAGCTTAATCTTAACAACCATTTTGTCATCCCCTATATATAGGACTATAGGAGGATAGACCCATTTTTTTTATTCACAATTGTGTTTGGTAGTCACAATGTCTACCATCTATTCATTCACACATCACTAGTCAATTTTAAAAATTAACCACACCAATTATAGCATCGCCGTCAACAAAATTTACACTTTATTTTGGTAGATTGTCTTCCCCAAAACTTTTGAGGAGTAGTAGATGCTTTTGAGTTTTGACAATAACTGTTTAACAGATGACGGTTTCAATAAATTAAAGCAAAAGACTTGGATTATGATTTTGTCTATTTTGTTCTTGCCACTCAAAGACTAGATCTCTACATATCAATTGATTATCGATGTGATGATGCTCTTAGGTAACCATTTAATTCTTAACAACAAGAATAAATATCACCTTTTTTTCTTTAACAATCTTTCTCTTCTTTGGCTATGATGTTAGAACATAGTCATGCCAATTGGCAACTAGAGAATACTCAATGATTTCCCCTTAAATTCTTTTCTTCATGGGCTAACTTTATAAAACACAATTATGGCTTAAGCGAAAAAGTCTCTAATTCTTCTCTTCTTTGAATAAGATTTTAGAATAATTTAATGGCATAAGATAGAAATAACAATTTTTGTCCTTTTCTTTATTCTCTTTTGTTTTCTTATGTGACTATGATTTTTAACTCAGAAATGGTAAGAAGAGAGTACATTCACTTCTTTTTCTTTAGTTTTTTTTTTTCTTTTCTTCATGTGCTTTTTTAATCACAACCATGGACGAAGAGAAAAATATAATTTTTTTTAAATGCTTTTGGGACAATGATAGTAAGAAGAGAAAAATGCATTTTTTGGTCACTTATTCTCTGAACAAAAAATGGGTTAGAAGGAAAATGATGACTTTTTTTTTCATCTCCTCTTGGCCTACTATCTTAAGACATTGTGATGGTTAGGAAAAAAATACGGAGTAAGTCATTTTAACCACCCTATTAGTAAGTAAATTAAAGATGCATCTTTTTCTCCGACTAAAATGTCAAAACACGACAAAACACACCAATTAATTTGAAAAATACATTAATTATAACTTTAGAAAGAAGAAACAAAGACCCTCCAAAAAAATCAATCCACTTTTTACGGTAATTTCTTCTCTTTTTTTCTATAATTTATAAAATTGTAAAGGTCATAGACTTCACTTTTTTCAATCATTTCTTTATTGTCTTATATTGGTCACAAGTGAAAAAATGACCTTCATTTTCGTAGTTCATTTTCTTCAATTCAAGTGGTATTCTATCGGGTAGTAGTCTAACGGGTAATAAGTTAAACTTGCAGTTTTTTCTATAACTAATGTGTTATTCTACAACAAGAGTTACAACTCTTTGAAACAATTCAAAACATAATGGCTCGGCTCTAATTTATGTGGAGTAATTTGTATCCCTTCTAAATTAATTTAGGATCCCGTGCAACGCACGGGTGAAAGACTAGTTAGTTTATAAAGGAGTATACTGAATTTAGCAAGTCAATATTGGAAGGGGAGAGGTGCTAGGATGAAGGAAATGAAGAAGATTGTGGTTGTGTCCTATCACCCACCTTGAGGGCAAGGTGGATGTTTAGGATGGGAGAATTGTTAGGGACAGACCTATTAGGATATTAAATAAAAGAGTTAGTGTAGTTATATTTCTGTTTGAGATAATAACTACATTCTGTTAGTGGGATACTATAAATAGATGTTAAGTGAGAATAGAGGGAGGCTATTTTGACTGTTTATTATTTTCTGGGAAGATTGAGAATTATCTCTCTCTTGGGGCTTCAGCTATATGCCAAGAAGAGCAAGTGTATTTTAGGGCAGGAATCTATATCACACTTGGACACATTATTAATAATTTTTGGGCAGGAAAATGTTGCTCTGAGGTTCCAATTGTTTTATGCAATGACAGGTGTGTTATAGCCTTAGGCAGGGTTGTATTGATAACTGATGCAAAGGAAAAGGGTGAAATGAGATCTGAAGAAACGATCATTAAATGTGAAGGGTCATCTGGGCTCATCAAATTGAGATCCCTGGGAGATATTATTGCAATACCTAGTGTTTGTGATAAGGAAAGCAGAGATCTCAATTCTTTTATCGTACTGACAAACCCTAAGCAGTCTCAATTTTATGAAGACATTAGTTTGTCTACTTTGAAACCCTAGCAAGAGACCCATCATGAGGCTGACAGACTCCTTATCCAGTAGAAATAACTGCTCACAACTCATACATGACTGTGGCAAAGTCAAGTTTTCTGAATTGGAAATGTAACTTCCCAGGCAGTTTTTCAAAGGCTAAGATTGGATGGGAATTAAGGTGGCCTCTAAGGCTCTAATTGGTCGTCAAGCTCAATTGTATTTAACTGAAGATACTGGTGTTGAGAGAAAAATCCTAGCAGGATAATATCGACACATTTTCGTTTTCACGATGACCATGAAAAGTCATATGTGTAGATAAACAGCGAACATGAGTAATAGATGATACCTATGAGGCTATTACTCACTCCCTCCCCTTTTAAATGTCTCGTTTTACCATATTGGAATGTCCCTATTTAATTGTCCCATACCTTATTTGGTAAAGTTTGTGTGGCTCAAAATCATTCTTACTTTATCAATCAATTAATATCAACCACACAAACCCACTTTTCTTAAAACTCGTGCCACCCTCTTCCGGGACATTTAAAAGGGGACGGAGGGAGTATTATACATCTCGACACAAAAACATGAGTTTGCAGAAGACTAAATTTCTAGTTTCAAATGTAACTGAGGCCTAGATCTTCATAATAGACCTTGGTACCAAAAGAAGAAACTCAATAGTGGATGAAGTGAAAATAACATACTTTCAGCTGGCATTAAGAAAAGCTTCAGCCGCCAGTGTTCTTATTTCCTTTGGAGTTTTGATGAAACATACGTCAATGTAACTGGAGGCAAGACTTATCTTCAAAGCAAGAAACGAACTTGGAGAATAATAAAACCCTTGTATATTATGAATTCAATAACTTTCCCTTTCTGCTTCCTCTTTCTTTCCTGTTCCTTCTCTCTACTCTTTCACTTGTACCCGTTTGCCTTTCCCCCTTTCTTCTCCTCCGCTGCTCCTAATAGAAATAAGGAAACAGCTTCCTTAATTGTGGTGAAGCTTTGAACTTCAGTCTGTGTGCCCCATTCCCACTCATTTGTAATATACAGTATACCCCCATAGAACCACATTTATCAACGCTTGAGCAGCTGAGCTACGTCAAAATGCAACCCTAGCAATCGTTTTCCACTCACCAGTTCAAAATAATACCTATGAGACACCATACAGGAAAAGGGAAGTGAAACTGATGGACCAATAAACAGCCAAAGAGAAATTAACATACTTCAGAATTGTACTAGTAACCAGCTTTAAAAAGGGTATTTGTAATTTGTAATTTAAATGATTGACAGAGTAATTTGTAATTTAAAAAGGCTGCCGGACAGATGATAGAACTTGGATATAATCTAATTCAAACCTGAGCAAAAAAGAACTTGGATATCCTTCCAATCCTTATCTTCAAAGCAAATGACCATAAAAGTAGAAGTCTTGAGGCAAAAAAGAACTCTCTCCCTTCCTTTCCCGTTTCCCCTTTCTTCTTCTCTTCCCCGGATTCCCCTCGATTCCACTCTCCTCTGAGGCTATTATTATTATATATCTCAACACAAAAACATGAGTTTACAGAAGACTAAGATTCTAGTTTCAAATGTAACTGAGGCCTGGATCTTCACAATAGTAGATGAAGTGAAAATAACATACTTTAGAATTGCTGAAGTTGGCCCTTGGTACCAGCTGGCATTAAGAAAAGCTTCAGCTGCCAGTGTTCTTATTTCCTTTGACAGAGCAATTTCTAGTTTAAAAAGGGTGCCTGACAGATGATGAAACATAAGTCATTCAATGTAACTGGAGGCACGAACTATCTTCAAAGCAGGAAACGAACTTGGAGAATGATAAAACCCTTGTACAAGTTATTATGAAATTCAATGAAACCCGATTCTTTTATTACATACTTAAACCTAGTCATCTTAGCCTTTTACCCGATTCTTTTACCCTTTCCAGATGCTTTTGAAATGGTTCATGGTCTTGAACAAGATGAGGTCAATTCTCTTAAAGAGATGTCGGAAAACAAGCAAAGGACACAACAGGAGATGCAGATGCCAAGAGATTCTAACTTTTGCAGCACCAGGGAGCATTTTTCCACCAAGATATTGTTTCTGCTCCTTACAGTGAAGAACTGTAAGCTGCAGCAGTTAGCAACTGTGGCTGGTGACATACTAATTGGGAGGGAGAAAATACAGAAGGTTTTGCTTGCCGGGCTGATTGAGATTGGGGTCATGTGGCGGCATGATGAGCAAGAATTTTGGGGTGTTCTAGAGGATAGTTCTGCTCCTCTTACACAACATGGATTGCAGCATATAATGCTGGAAATGCACTACACCGTAGAGATAGCACGGGTTGCTGGATACCCTTCCAGGATAGTGCATCAAATAGCATCGGATATAATGTCTCGGGTGACCAGGACATATTCGGTTAGGGGCATTGTACCAAGTGCTTTACCAAATGATGACTGGTTTATAGAAACAGCAAAAGGAGCAATAAACAAGCTTCTTTTGGGTGGGAAATCCGGGAGGTACTGGGAAGGAAGAGGTTCCAAGATGAAGAGGAAGTTCAAAATCAAGGCTGTGTCCTATCACCCACCTTGAGGACAAGGTGGTTGTTTAGGGGGGAGTAATGTTAGGCATCAGCCTAATCAGTAGTCTTAAATAAGGGGGTTAGGGGAGTTAAATAGCTTATTAAGTGTCTATAGCTTATTTAGTTGTCTATTTAGTCCCTGCGTGGACTTTTGGCTATAAATAGAAGCTGGGATAGCCTTAATAGGTAGACTGTTATTTTGAGAACTGTTGCCTTGTCCCCTAAGAGTCCCGGTTGCCTAAGAAGTCCCTGTACTGCCTACGGATTACCTATTTCATCAATAAACATCTATTTCCATCTCTGTTCATCAGATCTGTGTGTTCGTTTACTGTTTTAGCTTTGATTTGTGTCTGTGCCCTAACACTGAGTCCTCCGACTGCCGTAGTAGGAATAACTAAGTAGTTATAGTGACTATGGTAATAATTAACATTCCAAAGCTTTTATCAGTCAGTGGAGTTTGATCATTATTTGATAGGGACATAGACAACCAATAATAATAAGAATAACAGAGTATTATTAATAGTGTTATTGTATAAGTTAATGTTTTGGGCCATGTAATTCAAGAAATATGGACCAGTGGCCAGCCCTTAAGAAGAGAAATGATATAAAAGGGGGAAGGGGGAAGAAGGTAGCCAGAATTTCAGTTGGAATTAGGCTGGGAGAGTGAGGCTCTCTTGAAGAGCCTCAACCCTGTAATTTTCAGTTTACGTTGATCTCTCGTTTCTACCATTGTAATCACTACTGTCTTCTTAGTTTTTTAATCAATATAATACTAAAACTCTGCTGCGTTGTTGAGGTCCCTAACATTGGTATCAAAATCGTTGTCCCTGGGAAGCTTCGATCTAAGTCACACGATAAAAAAAATGGAGCAGCGTAGGGAACGTCGAAGGTCAGTTGCCCCTGGTTTGCACGCGAACACTGAGAAGCGTGTGTCGCAGGGAACATGGAAGATCTGATCAGGATGCTTCGCGCGGAAGAGGGGAGAAGCTAGCGAAAAAGGTTGAGCGCGGAAAAGTGGAGAAACTGGCGGAAAAGTGATTGGGGGAAGGATATGCGAATCTGGTTGAAAAAGATGCGCGAACTTTCGCGTCGCCGGAGACTTACAGGCCAAGTGAGGAGCCCTCCTAGACTCCGTCGGCCAACTGAAAATCAGATGTCATCCCAAGTCACTTCAACTTCATCCCTAACAGAACTCCTTAGTTCACAGGTGACCTCGAATGCGCTGATTTCATCACCAGCAGAAGATCCTTGTTCGCAGAATCCTTCTCAAACTGCTTCTCACCTTGCGCAAGTCTCTTCGAAATCGCAGAATTCTTCTCTGAGTTTGCAGGATGGTCTCAACATATGGACACAACACCCCAACTCTCTGTCTACCCACTCCCTCTACAGGAACCAGTACTAAAATTTGGGAACTAATTACCCAAAGACAGCAAAAAAGACAGGAGCTCAAAGAAAATTTTAAGCTGGCACAAGAAAGAATGAAACTTTATGCAGACACACACGGGTAGACAGAGAATTTGCAATAGGGGATCAAGTATATCTGAAGTTACAACCTTACCGACAAAATTCAATTCAACGCAGAAATCAGAAACTATCAGCTCACTACTATGGTCCGTACACTGTTTTGGTAAGGGTGGGGAAAGTGGCTTACCATGTCTCCTTACTGAAGCGTTGCATCAGTTCCCACGCAGTAGTGGCATCACAACTCCCAGAGGTTAACCAAGATGATAACTCTGCTCCTCTGCCAACCCCAGCAAGAGCTAGTAAGAATGCTGAAAGGGTATTAGCAAGTGGGTTGTTATGTAGGGGTCCCCACCCCCATTCCTACAAATACGGTTAGAGCAAATAGGGAAAGGGACAAAAATTGCAGACTATCTCTCCTCCCAATCTCTTTGTCTCCTTCGTTCTCTCTTTTCTTCCATATCTGGTAATTTCTAATTCTAAAATATCACTACATCAATAATTAAGCAGATAACATCACACTATAGTACATTTGCCAACGAGTAGGTAGTGCCCTGATTCTTCTAGTACACTAGCAGTTCCAGCATTACAACAAGTAGGTAGTTACCCACCTCCGTTTTACTACTACACAGGCAGCTGAAGCTTTCCTCTTCTCATTCCTTGCTTCCATCCCGCCCCCCTTCCCTACAGCCCCTAATACAAATAAGGAAACATCTTCTTCAACTGTGGCGAAGCTTTGAACTTCAGTCTGTGTGCACCATTCCCACTCATTTGTAATCCCTGAGGTAATAGAAAGAAGGGCACAATTCTAAATTCTACTTTCAAATTTATCAACGTTTGAGCAGCTGAGCTACGTCAAAACGCAAATCTGGCAATCGTTTTCCACTCACCAGCGAACTTCAGCATAAGGACGACATAATCACCTTCAAAATGATGATATTATTCAATCCACGGGATATCCACCCGATAATCCAGAAGGGGCGAAAAGGGTTGATTCAGATTCCAGCTCGAATTCAAAACCTGTGTTACTTGCAGAGATAAGTCTTACTGATGGACCAAAAAATATGACACATCAAGTAAAAAAAATAATGACAATTGAAAATGTTGCTCTGAATTTCCAAGGAAAGGTGTGTTATAGCCTTAGACAGGGTTGTATTGATAACTGATGCAAAGGAAAAGGGTGAAAGGAGATCTGAAGAAACGATCATTTAAAGTGAAGGGTCATCTGGGCTCATCAAATCGAGATCTCTGGGAGATATTGGAATACCATGTGTTTGTGATAAGGAAAACAGAGATCTCAATTCTTTTATCGTACTGACAAACCCTGAACAGTCTCAAATTTATGAGAACGATCATAAATGAGTGTGGATAAATCTAAGATGGATACTTTGTATGGGAATTGTAACTTCCCAGGCAGTTTCTCAAAGCTAAGATTGGATGGGAATTAAGGTGGCCTCTGATTGATCGTCAAGCTCAATTGTATTTAACAGAAGACACTGGTGTTGAGAGAAAATTGCTAGCAGGATAAATCTCGACTCATTTTCGTTTTCATGATGACTATGAAAAGTCACATGTGTAGATAAACAGCGAACATGAGTAATACCTATGAGGCTATTATTATACATCTCAACACAAAAACACGAGTTTGCAGAAGAAACTCAATAGTAGATGAAGTGAAAATAATTAGAATTGCTGAAGTTGGCCCATGGTACCAGCTGGCATTAATAATAATAACTTAATTATTATTATTAATTAATATTATTTAATTGTCTTAATTTTCTATTTCTTTCTTTCACTTTCCCTCTCTCTTCCTCTCGACTCTTCTCCCCGTCTTCCCCCATTCTTCTCCCCTTTCCCCCCTTTTCTTCCCCCCCTCGACTCCCCCATACTGCTCCAACGAATCATCTGGGCAGCACAAAATTCTTGAAACAGAAAATATATGACTCCGTAAACTACCTGTCCATCTGCCACTGGATCAAATGACAGCATCTCTCATTCATTCCTTTTAACACAACTATCATTCTTCTCATACGGCATTTATCATTCTTTTCATCTCACTACACCTCATAGGATCTGGCTCATCGATCGCCCTCTCTGTGAGCACGTGTTTGATTCGGCATATAGACTTTCTTACCTTGGAGATACATTCTGGATTTGGAAATCTCAAGTTTTGAGCATTAAGCATTTGACGTTGAGCCTTGAGAAGTACATACCATAGTTTGTGAAGATCATCCCAGGACTTGAGACGAAGCTCAGATGCCTTCCAGCTCCGACCATACACAACAGGTTTATCATCCTCCACACTTCTATGAGCTTCAAAGAACTGCTCGAGAGGGTTATGAATTGCTCTTCTAGCTGAAGTACAAGCATCCCAAGTAGTCTCACATTTGGCAGCAGCTAAGAATGTCCTCATAAAGAGTCAAGCCGCAGCCCGCAAGCATAGTTGCAAATAGGTTATATCACCAAAGAAGTGAAAATGAAGGCTTTCTGAATATTGCAATCCGCTAGGGTAAGACCGTCTTCTAGCTGCTTCCCGGAAAAAAAAATCAGAAGGGTAAGGCCAAAATAGAAGGGCGGTGATGGGGCTAAAATCCGCTCCAGGGAATCGAACCCAACCCCTTCCATTTTAAAGTTTTACATACCACCAAATAAAAAAAAAAAAAAAAAAACTGAAAAGACCAATGTTTAAAATAAACAAATACGGAGTACTATTCTAAAAGGGCATTAAACAAAGATATGCCCTTACAACTAAGGAAATTGAAAAAGTCACAACTAATTATAGTACTAACCAAAGCGTACTCCTATGGGGCTGGGGCAATCCAACATCTCCACACTGCGTTTTTCCTGCAAGTAAAAGCTGTATACGAAATATTATATGTTTTGAAACAAAGAAAAAAGGTTGAGGTAAAGAAGAATGAATAGGATTTGCAACAACGACATATATTAGCAGATCTGAAACAGCAGTGAAAGAAGCAAACGGCTCTAAGCCACAATAAAGAATAAAAGTTTCAATAAAAAAACATTCAAGGGGAGAACCAACTACAATAGCTATAGTGCATTTGCCAACGAGTGGGTAGTGCCCTGATTCTTCTAGTACACTAGCACTTCCAGAATCACAACAAGTAGCTAGCATTTCAAGGGGAACTCAGAAGCAAAACAAACGCAGGAAGAAGGGAGAAGACTATAAAGACTGAATCGCCAAAAGACACATCCCTAAGGCGTGAGAAGCGCGCGACTCTCAGATGCGCAAAAGGCGTCAAAAAGCGCCGTATAATGTGCGCCTCTTGGAACCTACGCCGCCTGGAGGTGTAAGATGCGATAAAGTGCTCGCCTTAGAGAGCCTAGCGCATTTTCGCGCCTCAGGCGCGCTTTTTTAAACCAAGGTGTGCACCATTCCCACTTATTTGTAATATATAGTATACCCCCATAGAACCACCTAGTCATACCCACATTTTGCATCTTACTATAGATATCCCTAAGGTAATAGACAGAAGGGCAAAATTCTAAATTCTACCTTCAAATTTATCAACGTTTGAGCAGCTGTGCTACGTCAAAACACAAATCTAGCAATTGTTTTCCACTCACCAGCGAACTTCAGCATAAGAACGACATAATCACCTTTAAAAAACAAATAATAAATTAATAATAACATAAAATTGTTGGACACATCAACAGTGAATTGGGAAACTTATAAATCAAGGACTTCTTTTTGACGAAACTTAAAACTAAAATCAAAACCAGAAATGTTGTACTGCAACTGAGCAGTAATTTACTGCGCCCCAGTTCTAATTAATATTAAGTTCAAACTATCTAGGTTGATTATATGAAGCATAATTAGTTAAACTTTTACTGCAATCAAGTACATATGAATTTAGTAAATTTCCCCCTGTCTTAATTTTCCCCTACTGCTTCCTCTTAATTTTATATATCTATGAGGCTATTACTCCGTATATATCTATGAGACTATTAATCAAGTTAATAGTAACTAAATAAGTTAATAATAACTAAATAACTTAATATTTTAGAGAGTTCCTCATCAGATTGGTTTCTTCCCTAGCGCACGTCTAGGGTTTCAGTATTTCTCGTTCATAGCTTCGAACGGTATTTTCATTCTCAGAATCGTCATGCAAAGTACGTCGATGTCAATGGAGGATCTTTATTCAAGGCTCTCTCTGGAGGAGGAGGGTGAAGAAGGTTTAGACGTGGGGGGATCAGAGACAGAAGGGGATTATCTCAACTTAGTGGCCGTGGGAAGACTTCTGACAGATAGACCGGTAAAGTTTGTTTTCTTTCGTGAAACTATGGCTAACTTATGGAGACCTGGGAAAGGAGTTACTATCAAGGAGTTGGGTGGCCATAGATATCTTTTCCAATTTTTCCATGAGGCTGACATTTGTAGAATTTTGAATGACGGACCATGGGCATTTGATCGCAATCTTCTAATATTGCACCGTCTTAGTCCTTTGGAAAACCCCATGACTTGTCCCCTGGAGCAGGCTGAATTCTGGATCCAGGTGTACAACCTTCCAATGGGGCTAATGACAGAAAAGGTAGCAATGCTAATAGGCAATAAAGTGGGGAAGTTTGTATGCGCAGATGAAAAAAATTTCCAGGGGACAGTAAAAGTGTTTATGCGAATACGAGTACTCCTACATGTTGATGCCCCGCTCAAAAGGAAATTGAAACTAAACTGGAAAGGAGAAGAGATATGGGTGGATTTCAAGTATGAACGACTTCCACTATTCTGCTTTATCTGTGGACGATTGGGTCACTCCGATCGTTTCTGTAAAATCCATGTAGAGGAAGGTTGGAGCGGGCAAGTGAAACCTTACGGTATGTGGTTAAAAGCTGGAGGCAAAAGAGATGAAATTGGGCAAAGTAATCCATGGTTGGTACCTGATCGTGCGGGGTTTGAATCCAGGAGGTGCAGTGAAAGCAAATTAAGTGAAGAAAGGGAGGGATTTGGTGGTACTAAACTTTCTAAAGACAGAATGGATGCTACAGAAGGGGTGGTTTGCTGTTGGACGGATAAGGAAAGTCTTAGCAGGAACTTTTCAAGGAATGACAGTTTGATAGGCAAACGCAGGAGGATCAGTGAGAGTGCAAATATGTCAGGATTGGATCAGGAGGAAGTTAATGCAACAGGGTCAAAAAACGTATTAGAGGCGGGTCCTGGTGTTCAGGCCCGCCTAGAATCATGAGTTGCCTTAGCTGGAACTGTCGAGGGCTTGGCAACCCATCGACAGTTCAAGTTTTAGTGGATATTATCCACTCGAAGAGGCCATCCTTAGTCTTCTTAATGGAGACTTTTTCAACAAAAAGGAAAGTTGATGAGTTAGTGAAGAAATTGGGTATGGAGAGTTCTTTTGTGGTGGACTGTGTTGGACATAGGGGGGGTCTAGCCTTATTGTGGAAACAGAATGTAGCCGTGCAGATTCAGCGTCATTCACCCAATTATATTGATGCACACATTAGGCTGGAACGTGATGATCCACCTTGGCGTTTCACGGGATTTTACGGCTGCCCGGAGAGATCGAGAAGGAAGGAGTCATGGGGTATGTTGCGCTATCTTAGTTCAATGTCTACGTTGCCATGGCTTGTTATGGGGGACTTTAACGATATGATGTTTCATTCAGAGAAAAAAGGAAGGGTTCCTCATCCGCGATGGCTTCTACAAGGTTTCCGGGAAGCGGTCTGGGCTAGTGGCTTAGCTAATTTTTCATTCGATGGCTACCAATTTACTTGGGAGCGGGGACGTGGAACCCCGGGTTGGGTAGAGGAGAAGTTGGATCGGATTTTGGTTTCTGAAAATTGGAAGGAACAATTCGGAGGGGCCAAAGCTATTTCACTGGAGGGGACACCAAGCGATCATCTAGCTTTATTTATTAAATTGCAGCAGTGGCAGGGGATTAAAAGAAGGAAGAGGTTCAAATTTGAAAATGTGTGGTTAAGAGAGGAAGATTGTAGGGAAGTTGTGGAGCGGAGTTGGGGTCTAGGGAGAGGCTTGGGACTGTTAAAGCAATTGGAAATGTGCAGTGCAGAGATGGGAAAATGGGGCGAACAGAGAAGCAAAGGGGAAGGGGAGCGTATTAAGTTCACCAAGTCAAGGCTCCAGTTCTTGAGGGGCAAACAAGATGCGGATAGTGTGGCAGAATTTGTCAGGGTAAAGTGTGAATATTTGAACTTGTTAGAGAAACAAAATTGTTATTGGCAGCAACGAGCCAAAGAATTTTGGCTTAGAGGAGGAGATGTAAATTCCAGATTCTTCCATAACTCAGTCAAGCAAAGAAGAAGGAAGAATCGAGTGGAGGGCCTTAGGATGGATAATGGTCGATGGGAGACAGAGAGGGGTGAGGTGGGCCGAATGATGGTGGATTATTTTGATAACATATTTTCCTCTATGCAGGGTTATATGGAGCCTATCATTTTTTGTATCAAGCACATGGTAACATCAGATCAAAATCAGCAGCTCCTTAGGCCGATACAGGAGGAGGAGGTCAAGGCAGCCCTTTTCTCGATGCACCCAGATAAGAGCCCTGGTCCAGATGGGATGGGACCGGGTTTTTTCCAGCATTTCTGGGAGGTGATAGGATCAGATGTAGTGGATTTTTGCAAGCAGATTTTTCTGTCGGGTAAGCTCCCTGGAAGAGTTAATCATACACATATTGTCCTTATCCCTAAGAAGGACCAACCTGATTCTATGACGGACTGGAGACCCATATCTTTGTGTAATGTTATTTATAAGGTCTTCTCCAAGATACTTGCTAATAGGATGAAGTATATTATGAATGGGCTTATTTCTCCGAATCAAAGTGCTTTCATCCCGGGACGGTCAATTATAGATAATATTATGATAGCTTTTGAGTCCCATCACTTTTTGAAGCGGAAAAGCCAAGGTCTTAATGGTTTTGCAGCTCTAAAATTGGATATGAGTAAAGCATATGACAGGGTAGAATGGGTCTATTTAGAGGCTGTGATGCTACGATTAGGCTTTGATGAAAAGTGGGTGGATATTGTTATGGAAACAGTCCGTTCTGTTACTTATTCTATTCCATTTGATGATCAAGAGTTGGGTCCTATTTATCCGTCAAGGGGGCTACGGCAAGGAGATCCCCTTTCACCTTACTTGTTTATATTGGTTGCAGAAGGGCTTAGTGCAAGGCTGTGGAAGGAAGAACTAGAGGGCAGAATTCATGGAGTGGCTATCGCGAGAAGGGCACCGAGAGTGTCACACTTATTGTTTGCAGACGATAGCTTCTTATTCTTCAAAGCCTCACATCAAGAGAGTTCAGTCATTAAGGAAGTTCTGTGTGATTATGAGAAAGCGTCGGGACAAAAGATAAACTTTAATAAGTCGACAGTGACTTTCAGCTCTAACGTTAATCGTGATGTTAGGGTAGGTTTAATTGAAATGCTCGGTGTGAAAGCGGCAGAAGTGGGTGCAAAATATTTGGGACTGCCTTCTCTTGTTGGAAGGAGCAAAAGAGAGGTCCTAGCTTTTATCAAAGAAAGGGTCATTAAACGTATAAATAGCTGGAATCATAAATTCTTGTCCAGGGCTGGTAGGGAAACTCTCTTGAAGGCAGTAATTCAAGCAATACCTAGCTATGTGATGCAAGTGTTCTTGCTGCCTCAGGAGCTATGTTCAGAGTTGGAAAGAGTAATGAATCGTTTTTGGTGGTGTGGTACTACCGGCAGAGGTATTAAATGGAAGGAGTGGTCTAGTATGACTCATTCAAAGGCGAGAGGGGGGATGGGATTCAGGAAGCTTTATGAATTTAACCTTGCCATGCTTGGAAAGCAGATTTGGAATTTTTTGCAAAACCCAAATTCTCTGGCAGCTATGATTTTTCAGGCTAAATATTTCCCTCGCAAGTCCTTGTTAGAGGCTGATATCGGTTCTAACCCTTCGTTTATTTGGCGAAGTTTGTGGGAGGCTAAAGAGAAAATCAAAGACGGATTCCGATGGCGGGTAGGGGATGGAAAATCTATCAAAGTTTGGAGTGACCCTTGGCTTCCCTGCTTAACAAACCCGTGGATCACATCCAGTGTTAGCTATGGGCTGGAAAATATTACAGTAGAACGGCTTTTTACAGAGGGAGGACATGGTTGGGATGATGATCTTCTGTCTGATTTGTTCAATGAACGGGACCAGCTTTTGGTGAATAGCATTCCGGTTAGTAGCAGAAGAGTTCCTGACAAAATCATATGGCCTTGGGAGGAAAGGGGCAGATACACTGTCAAGAGTGGGTATCATTTTCTTACTAGTAGAGGGGCGGTTAACAATCCTGGAGAACCATGGACCCAAATGTGGAAACTATTTATTCCACCTAAAGTGAAGGTGTTCTTTTGGCAACTTTGCTCCGGTTGTCTCCCGACGACCGATAATCTTATGGTCAAGAGGGTAGGCTGCTCCCCTAGGTGCGTTATGTGTGAGGTTGAAAATGAAACTGCTGCACATCTTTTTCGAGATTGTATAGGTGCTAAGCAACTCTGGGATTTCATTAATTGGGACTTAAGTAATGGGCAGGGGCTTTCTTTCAAAGACTGGGTAAATGAATTCTTTAGTTGCAGGGACATGGAAGCTTGCTGCAAGTTCGTGATGTATCTCTGGAGTATATGGACAAGCCGAAATGAAAAGATGTGGAATAATAGGCATTTAACAGCACCGAGTGTAGCAGCCACCGCTACTGCTTTTTTGGAAGGCTGGCGTAGAGCTCAAAGGCCGGCAGATAGGGTTGAGAGAGGAGGTCCAGGTTCTGCTACGTGGGTGCTCCCGGAAGAAGGACGTATTAAACTAAATACGGATGCAACGATTAAAAGCGGAACAAGAGTTACTGGTATGGGATGGGTAGTTCGGAACTGTGATGGATTTTTTTTGGCAGGTGGTGTGATATGCAGAAAGGGGGAACTTATTCCCGGTGAGGCAGAAGCTCTATCTATGCGGGAAGCTTTAAGTTGGCTGAAAGAGGTGGGCTGGGATAATGTTGACGTGGAATCAGACGCTATTAATCTGATTAAGAGCATCAAGACGGGGGCAATAGAATCATCTTTCGGCCTCATTGTTGAAGACATTAGAGAAACTTCAACTAGTTTTTCTAGTATCACGTTTTCTCATATTAAGCGGTCAGCGAATCGTGTAGCCCACCATCTCGCAAGGGCAGCCGTTTCCTCCGAATTTTATTCAGTTGTATTTGGACAACGATTTATTAAGTAATAATAGTTAATCTTTTAGCTTTCAAAAAAAAAAAAACTAAATAACTTAATTATTATTATTATTAATTAATATTATTTAATTGTCTTAATTTTCTATTTCTTTCTTTCACTTTCCCTCTCTCTACCTCTCGACTCTTCTCCCCGTCTTCCCCCATTCTTCTCCCCTTTCCCCCCTTTTCTTCCCCCCCTCGACTCCCCCATACTGCTCCAACGAATCATCTGGGCAGCACAAAATTCTTGAAACAGAAAATATATGACTCCGTAAACTACCTGTCCATCTGCCACTGGATCAAATGACAGCATCTCTCATTCATTCCTTTTAACACAACTATCATTCTTCTCATACGGCATTTATCATTCTTTTCATCTCACTACACCTCATAGGATCTGGCTCATCGATCGCCCTCTCTGTGAGCACGTGTTTGATTCGGCATTTAGACTTTCTTACCTTGGAGATACATTCTGGATTTGGAAATCTCAAGTTTTGAGCATTAAGCATTTGACGTTGAGCCTTGAGAAGTACATACCATAGTTTGTGAAGATCATCCCAGGACTTGAGACGAAGCTCAGATGCCTTCCAGCTCCGACCATACACAACAGGTTTATCATCCTCCACACTTCTATGAGCTTCAAAGAACTGCTCGAGAGGGTTCTGAATTGCTCTTCTAGCTGAAGTACAAGCATCCCAAGTAGTCTCACATTTGGCAGCAGCTAAGAATGTCCTCATAAAGAGTCAAGCCGCAGCCCGCAAGCATAGTTGCAAATAGGTTATATCACCAAAGAAGTGAAAATGAAGGCTTTCTGAATATTGCAATCCGCTAGGGTAAGACCGTCTTCTAGCTGCTTCCCGGAAAAAAAATCAGAAGGGTAAGGCCAAAATAGAAGGGCGGTGATGGGGCTAAAATCCGCTCCAGGGAATCGAACCCAACCCCTTCCATTTTAAAGTTTTACATACCACCAAATAAAAAATAAAAAAAAAAACTGAAAAGACCAATGTTTAAAATAAACAAATACGGAGTACTATTCTAAAAGGGCATTAAACAAAGATATGCCCTTACAACTAAGGAAATTGAAAAAGTCACAACTAATTATAGTACTAACCAAAGCGTACTCCTATGGGGCTGGGGCAATCCAACATCTCCACACTGCGTTTTTCCTGCAAGTAAAAGCTGTATACGAAATATTATATGTTTTGAAACAAAGAAAAAAGGTTGAGGTAAAGAAGAATGAATAGGATTTGCAACAACGACATATATTAGCAGATCTGAAACAGCAGTGAAAGAAGCAAACGGCTCTAAGCCACAATAAAGAATAAAAGTTTCAATAAAAAAACATTCAAGGGGAGAACCAACTACAATAGCTATAGTACATTTGCCAACGAGTGGGTAGTGCCCTGATTCTTCTAGTACACTAGCACTTCCAGAATCACAACAAGTAGCTAGCATTTCAAGGGGAACTCAGAAGCAAAACAAACGCAGGAAGAAGGGAGAAGACTATAAAGACTGAATCGCCAAAAGACACATCCCTAAGGCGTGAGAAGCGCGCGACTCTCAGATGCGCAAAAGGCGTCAAAAAGCGCCGTATAATGTGCGCCTCTTGGAACCTACGCCGCCTGGAGGTGTAAGATGCGATAAAGTGCTCGCCTTAGAGAGCCTAGCGCATTTTCGCGCCTCAGGCGCGCTTTTTTAAACCAAGGTGTGCACCATTCCCACTTATTTGTAATATATAGTATACCCCCATAGAACCACCTAGTCATACCCACATTTTGCATCTTACTATAGATATCCCTAAGGTAATAGACAGAAGGGCAAAATTCTAAATTCTACCTTCAAATTTATCAACGTTTGAGCAGCTGTGCTACGTCAAAACACAAATCTAGCAATTGTTTTCCACTCACCAGCGAACTTCAGCATAAGAACGACATAATCACCTTTAAAAAACAAATAATAAATTAATAATAACATAAAATTGTTGGACACATCAACAGTGAATTGGGAAACTTATAAATCAAGGACTTCTTTTTGACGAAACTTAAAACTAAAATCAAAACCAGAAATGTTGTACTGCAACTGAGCAGTAATTTACTGCGCCCCAGTTCTAATTAATATTAAGTTCAAACTATCTAGGTTGATTATATGAAGCATAATTAGTTAAACTTTTACTGCAATCAAGTACATATGAATTTAGTAAATTTCCCCCTGTCTTAATTTTCCCCTACTGCTTCCTTTAAATAGTAACTAAATAAGTTAATAATAACTAAATAACTTAATTATTATTATTAATTAATATTATTTAATTGTCTTAATTTTCTATTTCTTTCTTTCACTTTCCCTCTCTCTACCTCTCGACTCTTCTCCCCGTCTTCCCCCCTTCTTCTCCCCTTTCCCCCCTTTTCTTCCCCCCCTCGACTCCCCCATACTGCTCCTGACCCCCCCCTACCCCCCCCACGGGGGGTTTGGCGCCACGCGGCGCCAGCGAGGCAGCATAACGCCACCCCTGGCGGCCCAGGACGGCATGGAGGCAGCATAACGCCCCCACCGCCCTAAGCCTAACCTAAACCTAAGCTAGCCTAAACTAAGCCTAAGCCTAAACTAACCTAAGCCTAGCCCTAACTACCTACCTAACCTAAGCCTAATGGCGCCCAAAGAGGGAGCCGGGGCCGGCCCCAAAGGGTGGCCAGCCCAACCCAGCGGGACTTGGTCAGTCCCAAAGGGTGAGTATATCTGCAACTGTACCCTTGTATTTATAGACCCTGCCAGGAGTCGCTCAGCCATCCGGCGTCGGTGTGGGAACCGATTTTAATTAGTGACTGGAATGCTTACTTTCTTCGTTTCTCTTCTTCCTTCTCTGGCTTGGTCGGTGTGGGAACTGATTTTAATTAGTGAATGGAAAGCTCACTTTCTTCGTTTCTCTTCTTCCTTCTCTGGCTTGGCTTCCTTCACCAACAGCTCAGCCTCAGCTCCTTCACCAAGCCCGACGCCGCTAGGATAAGCCGCCGGATTTCGCGTTTGTCCATCGGAGGGATGGCTGTTCAGCTCCTCTTCCATCTGCCTTGCTTCACCCGCCCAAGAACCAGTGCTCCGTCACCTAGAATGACTCACTCAACTGAGCGAGGAGGAGGATCGAGGCGGCTCAAAGATCATATATTTAATTCCAATTCCAATCATTCATTTTATTCAACATCTAAAATTCATTACATAAAATCCGCATATCCCCTTTCTAACTTAGAATATTTATGTTTCACCCATTTTGACAAAAGTACCTTGATATTATTATTTGAGGTTTCTATTAATACATTACCATTACTAATTAGTTAGACAAAAAAGCGACTAGAATTAAAATATTCAATAAAAAAAACGTAAGCACGTGGAAAGAGCATAAAATAAGGGACCATTCCTGGTGTACACAAAATGTGTACATTGCATGTGTACACGGAAAATTCGACATCAAGTTATGCCCCTTTTTAAACGAATTGCATGTGTACACAAGCAGCTGTGTGGGTTTTGTGTACAGGTTGTGTACAACTCATGTACACTAAGAATTTTCCTGAAATAAAATGTCGTGATTACCCCCAACGGTTACCAAGCTTTTAGATCCAGACCTAATTTGCGGGAGTTACTTGAAGTTATATTTGAGGGTGGGTTTGATTTCACATATTGGTGTGATGCAAATAAATTACTTTGTGAGTCATGATACAATGTTTTTGATTTATTTAGGGGAATAGAAATCAGGCCACAAGGGTTTAATGCACCAAACCCCACTGTGATTTGGAAATTCGCCGCATTAGCCCCATGTGATTTAAAAAATGCGTCAAACCCCCCTGTGTTTTAATTAATCATGCGCCAAATCCCTTATGTGAACAAATTCAATTGTCAAATCCCCCTGTCAAATTCAACTAATTTAATACAAATCATCTAAATAAGGCTAGGTATCACATCAAAATATGGTAGACTATTAGTACAAAACTAAATATAATAAAAAATAATAAATATTGACATATTTAAAAAAAATAACAATTTCAACCGATTTGAACTGAACTTAAGTAACACATACTCATATAAAGTTTTGCTTTATTTATCATCCCCCAACTCCCAACCGCTTCCATTTTTTTGTCTAAAAATTGTTTGCCTCTTTTGTTCTACCCACCCAAGGAGATGGATGACATCAGGCAAATAAATAAAAAAAAAAAACTTCCATGATTCAAACATATCATCCATTTTCAGATACACGAGCTAGCAAAGAATGTGTTTAAAAGAGCACGTCCACAGCTCCAACAAATCATCTGGGCAGCACAAAATTCTTGAAACAGAAAATATATGACTAGGCCTCTACAGTTAGGGCCGCCTAGGCCGCCTAGACCGATTAATCGGTCCGACTAGGCCAATTTTTAGAACAGGGCTTGCGGGTATAGAGCTATACCTCGGGGTAAGATTGGAACAGGGGAATTGTTGTGTTAGCATTTAAATAATAAGTCGTCTTTAGTATTATTTATGTCCATGACTCTTCTACTAGTAATATGAGTGGATTTTTTTCTCATTCTTTTCTAAATTCATCATTTTCTCATTCAAACCCACAAATACATGTAGTTTTTTCCTGTAATTTTACTAATGCTCACAGGTAAATTTAAAGATACTCGAATTTTCATTTCTTTGAAATATTTTAGAACCGTGGTGAGAAATATTGAAATATTGTTTAGTAACCCATGCTTTTAGCTTATCAGCTAACTTTTTTTTTATCAAACACGAAGTTTTTATTTCACGCGCCGGGATGAGTATTGATCAAAATAGCTATGGATGGAGTTACTTTTGTGACTCAATTGGATGAAGTGACTGTAGAACACCATTTTACCTATGTTTCATGTATTTTTTCCTAATTTTATTAATGAAATGTATTTTAAATCTAATTTTTCCGTTCACCCGATCCAACCATTTCAGCAACAATTTGCAAAACTTCAACTGATCATGCAAATTTCGTCGTTTATTAGATATTATCTCCACGACTCTTATTGATTGATGGTCATCAATTATAAAGATAATCATACAGTGATAATTATATGGTTGTTCTTTTATTAGGACTGAGTAAGAGTAGGTATATTCTTAATTAGATACAAACTCAAAGCAATGATTACCAAACTCTAATCTTTTTGTAAAAATACAATTATGAAAACGTATAAACATAATTGAGAAAGAAATATAAGTTAGGCCACAGTTCAAATTATAGTCAGAGCATACTTTATTTTCAAGAATCATACTATTGGGCTAGTTTTCATTTTCACAAGAAACATTTCTAGTGTGTCGAAGCTTCATGTAAGCTCGTGTGTCGAATCTTCATGTAAATATATTATTATAAAAATATGTATACTTATATAAGCTACCCCACAGTAATATAAACAATAAAAAAATTCATTCTAAATACTTCTACTCAAATCAATTGAATAAAAGAGATCTAAAAGGACCGACAAAAAGTGATGGTTTTGTATTAAATAATAAGTGTATAATATGAAATAATTTTCGTAGTAAACAAAAAAAAATAAGATAGTGAAAGTCAAAACTGGATATTTATATTTTCACCAATCGCAAGTTGTAAAGTCATCCCACAACCTGTGCATGTTGACCCACGAAACTAGTGAGTTAATCAGGTTATTAAAATACAATCCACCATGAAACGAGCAAGCCCGATGGAGGTCGACTCATTCTACTAGTAATATAAGTGGAATTCTTTCATATTCTTTTCTAATTCATCATTTTCTCATAATAAGTCGTCTTTAGTATTATTTATTTCCATGACTCTTCTACTAGTAATATACGTGGAATTCTTTCTTATTCTTTTCTAATTCATCATTTTCTCATTCAAACCTACAAATAAATATAGTTTTTTCCTCTTTGAAATATTTTAGAAATGTGGTGGGAAATATTGAAATCTGGTTTAGTAACCCACACTTTTAGCTTATCAGCAGCTAACTTTTTATTATCAAACACGAAGTTTTTTATTTCACGCGTTGGAATGAGTAATAATCAAAATAGCGTTGGAATGAGTTTTTTATTTTTCCGTTCACCTGATCCAACCATTTCAGCAACGATTTGTAAAACTTCAACTGATCACACCAATTTGATCGATTTTTAGGTAGTATCTCCACGACTCCTATTGATTGATGGACTATATGGCTGTTCTCTGATTAGGCCGAGTAAGAGTAGGTCTATTTGTAATTAGATACAAACTCAAAGCAATGATTACCAAACTCTAATCTTTTTTGTAAAAATACAATTAAGAAAACGTATAAACATAATTGAGAAAGAAATATAAGTTAGGCCACAATTCTAAATATAGTGAGAGCATACTTTATTTTCAAGAATTATATTATTGGGCTCATTTTCATTCTCACAAGAAGCTTCATGTAAAAAAATCAATAAATTATTATAAAAATACTTATACTTATATAAGTTACCCCACAGTAATATAAAAAAATCATTCTAAATACTTATACTCAAATCAATTGAATACACATTAAATAATGTAATAAAAATTCTAAAAGTTACTATATTCTTGATATAAAGCAGCACACCTCATTACTCAAGCAATTTGAATAAAAGAGAACTAAAAGGACCGACACAAATATGATGGTTCTGTATTAAATAATAAGCATGTAATTTGAAATATTTTTGTAGTAAACAAACAAAAATAAGATAGTGAAAGTCAAAACTAGATATTTATATTTTGACCAATAGAAAGCTGTAAAGTCAGCCCACAACCTGTGCATGTTGACCCACGAAACCAATGAGCTAATCAGGTTATATTTAAATACAATCCACCATGAAACGAGCAAGCCCGGTGGAGGTCGACTCATTTTGACATCTGTATTTATAATCAACTGAGTTCTCTTTTAAACTTCGATTGACGAATTCATATACAATCCGCAGTCCATATTAATTT